ATGAGCCGCGAGAAGGACCATCAAATGGAATGGATCTCCGCTGATACTGTGGGTTAGATTTTAGGGAGGAAGCACAATAAAACAGCAATCAATATCAGTCATTGCAGGTGAAAACGGCCAGTGTGGCAGCAGCTTCTGCATAAACAAGAGAAGAAGCAAGATCCTTAGACACAGCAAAACATGCATCTACCAAATTACACCCGCTGGAGAAGCTTCCGAAGATGTGGAAACGTCTACATTGCCAGGCAGCACCATCGATACAGAAGGTGGATCTCAAACAGATGTGAAGACACCGCTTAGCAAGTCGTGGGAAATACTTCTACAATTAAAGAACATCTGGAACTCGGAAAAACTGTCAGTCAACACCAAACAGTTGTCTACTCCAGAAATTCAGTATCGGCTAACCAAACTCCATCATCAATAAGAGAAAACAAACTAGATTCCAGATGAGTAGGAGATTAGGAAAAGGCGCTGGAAGTAGATGAAATAGACGTTTCGGCAATTAACAAGCTGACATAGTATCTCCGAAGCCATAAGAAAAGAAATCCGAAAAACATATCGCGATGAGGATTGGGGACAGATGAGAAAATACTTTAGAATAAGTGAGTAGACCTGAGGAGGGAGGCCCAGAGCTTATTTGTTTTGAGAATGTTGGTAGGCGGTCAACGCATAATTAAGGGTAACAGGTGTTAGCAAATAAGCATATGATCTAGCCACGTGACTCACTCTGAAACAGATAAAATAGCCACGTCACCTTAGCTCCACCGCCCAGTACATTCTGATTCCGTAACCAATCATATTCAGTCACCCGTTCACCTTTACAAACGTGCAATTTACAAATCTCGTTATGGTGCTTATCTGGTGCTTAAATGCATCAGGGTGTGCACTCCTAAAACGTTGGCCTTCCTAACCCTTCTCACATATCGTTAAATGACGCCGTATAAGCACGCTGATATCGACAAAAAATGTGCATCACGCAACCTGGACATCACAAAACCATATGATTTTTGAGCTGCTTGATCTCGACCTCAAAAGTCATATAAATGCCCAGTCACGGTCGAGGTGTACTTTTTCCTTCGGAAGCTTAACAATCTAACTCAACTTACTCAACTTCACCTTGAATATCTAACGGCATCCGCTAATTCAGCTAAGGTTTCTTTTCTAAATGTTTTCTCTCGTGAAGTGCTGACCTCGACTTGTTAAAACTATGCCGATTATGATTCTCAATACGAACACTCAAATCATAATGACATTTGTCACTATTGATAGCAGACAAATTACAAGCAGCAGCGGAAACCAACATTCCAAATCCGAATTCTCCTTTCACTTGTTACTCCTGCCTAACATAGTAAACCCTAGCTCTAGTCAAATGTTGATACTGAGGTAAGCTCAACATCGTTGGAAGCAGTAAACTTAAAGTATCAATGAACGAGATTCTAGGCAAAATTAAAAGCGTCCGAAAAGATCTAATATTCATAAATAATTTGGTAAGAATAAATTCAAGAATTTTCTTGCCATTGAAAATTTACACTCTGGTTTGTTCTCAAAAAATGATTGATTGCAAAAATAGCAGTTTTCAGAAATGTAAGGAAAAATGTACAACTTTCGTTTTCAGTATATCATCTTTTATTATTTAATTGGAAGACATGAATTCTGATAGTCTTATAAATAAATGTGTTTCTCAACAAACGTTTAATGTTTTTCGGTTTCAGAGCAAAAGTTGCAAAACATATCAGAGGCAAAAATCAAAAGATCCGCTGCGATTGGAGTTAAGGTATGTTTGTTGGAGACCTCGTGGTATCGAAATAATAACAAGATCCGTCCAAAATATACAAGCGAGACTATCAAACGTAAGTGGGCAAACCCAAGTTCAATGAAGGAAGGAAGAAAGATGTGTGTTTTGGGTACAATTAGATAGACCAGTACAGTAAAACAATCACTGGTACGATGGGTTATAATAATGAATGTTTATATTAGACCAGTCGCGTTCTCTTTATAAAATAGGCGTCGCTACAGTAGCCCCACCGCCAGAAAGGGCTTATACTTTCGATACGTAGTGGTTTCGTTCGGGAGAACTGATTGGCCAAAGTGCAATAGTAGGATAGAAAGGCTGACGAACATAGAGAGATCCATGATGATCGAATGGTCACCAAAGTTCTTTTGTGTAGGGCACTAGTGGTGACGTGCCATGTTTGTTGCTCGAGTTAGCTAACAACACCAGCGTGGCTTGTACACAAAGTCTGAAGATTGCGTTCGGAAGGGTTCGGACCAGAAACGCTGCAGACGAAGGACGAAACCTGCTTGAGCTAAGGAACCAGCAACGACAATAACGACCACCCTAAAAACCATACATATGCCAGATATATCCGTAACTACATCATCCACTAAGTGCATTGGCAAGAGCGCGGGTAATCAGGCCAGCCTTCGCAAAGACTGACTGAAGTCGACGGTATCAACAGGGAGATGATCGGAGGTGTTCACTCAGGATAAAATATCAAAGCGAAAGAAAAAATTGTAGCATGCATGTAGTATGGGGATAGAGTCCTTTACCGTGTCCGTTGTTTATTTGGGGATTAGACGCGAAAGCGTACAGGTGGATGTACGCGGCGACCAGAACGCAAGACGGTGGTCTCGTGCGTACCTTGTGAACTTGCAGTCTCATCCGCAGTCAAGGGCGGCGTGGTCTGCTGATCCGGACGCGAGACTGGAGTCTCATCCGTAGATGAAGCAAATGACGCGTCTTGTTGACTGGGACGCGAGAATGAGGTTTCTGGGGCATCTAGCGTGTGATCCGAAGGAGCAATAAGGATCCCGCCAGTGAGTTGGACGGGTCTAGTTTAGTATCTACCTATTTAGCACTATCACTGATGTGTGCTGGTTTGATACGATCAATGCTGACCATGTACATCAACCTTGAAGGTCCTTTCGCGACTAGAAATCACGTGAAAAGATCCTTCATAAGGCTGCTGCAAAGGTTTGAGTACCGAATCAACTATTGCGAAAAGATATGGACAGGTAAACAACTCTTGAGCGAGGGCGACCTGTCGATGTTATTTTCAATTTGACACCGAAAGCCGTGTTCGCATCTACGCAAATAGTCGTTGGACGTTATCTGATAGAGATAAAATCGCTGCTTCATGTTGCGAAAGATTTCCGGGGCAGATGCAATGTCGTGACGTATACAAGGCGGATTATTGAATATCTGCCGCTTCTGCTGAGTAATCGTCGTGCGGCCTCCAAATAATGCCAACTTGTTTGCGAACCGAATGGAGAGAAGAGGCTCGTGGACTGTGATAAAGGCGAAGCAATATATATGGCAGGTAAACTATCAAACACACACTTAGCGAAAACTAATTTGTCCAGTGCCAGTTGGCGACGTTTGGTCGTGACTGGGGGGGCTGTATGTGACAATGAGGTTTACTACATAATTAACTACCAATAGGATATCATCGGATTAGTCACTTTGGCGAATTTATCAAATACATCATAAAATACCTAATCATACAAAAATAAATACGCCAGTGACTTGGTACAGATCGGTTGGAGTATTAAAATCTATGAATTTGTTGTCCGACGAAGTATCGATTAACTGCAGCCTACGTGAATAGAATAGCAATTCATAGAGCTGTAGGGATTCGACACTGAGTACGGCTATGGGAACCTCAACAAGTATGAACGTCTACAGGTCCTGTCATTGATCATTCAGGTTGGTCGTTAGATATCGCGTACCTTAGGTAGGAACGACTTAGGTCATTCACAGAGCGTGGTCGAAACATCATAGCTAGAGACTTGCTGCTACCAGACGGCACGTCAGAAACTTAGGCACACATGGCCACCAAGTACCTAACGTTAGAGCAAAAATCGTGCACGTAAAATAAACGGGCAACCTGAAGTGATGGGGAAAAGATAGATGAAAATGCAATGACTTGCACCTCGGAGTCTATTATTGTAGCTATCCACCATTTTGAAACGTTGTCGCATGTATACCATATATTTAAGGGCATTATTAATGGTATTGCAACTTGATAAAAATGAGGATAGATGAATTATAGACTCAACGTGATTAACTTCTTTGGATAAAACATCAGCTCACCAGTTCTAGTAGTGACCGTGTCGAGATTGACTATGATCACCATCAAATATGAATTTAGAAGTCGTCACTGAGAAGATAAATATATCCAGGGCAAAGAATATATTAGCTGGCGATTCCGTGACGTCGAAAGAACACCGAAATCGAGCCAGGAAAGTGAGGTGAAATTTACAAAGCTGGTAGAGCAAAAAAATGGCTGCAACACAAGGTTTGCGCATAAAGAAGTTTTATAAGCAAAAAGTACAGTTAAGCAGTCACTGGTACAATTGGTCATAATAATAAATGTTTTCGTTTCACCAATCGTGTTCCCATAATAAAAGTGTTCTGCCACAAAAGCAATCACTTCATCATCATAAAAGCTATTAGAATCTTTCGCAAACACTGACCAGTTTTCTAAGATGCAGGCCATTTAGATTCGGTGGGTATTTCGACCAAGAATCCATGCTATTATGCTTGCCTACATATTCACTAGGGCACAGGTACAAACGTAGAATAATGATGTTCAGCCTTCTCCTTGAATTTGTAATGACTCGAGAGCACTTAACAGTTCATGCTTTGAAATCACTGGAAGCTGATGTCAGATACCTTTGAAAAGTCTTAGAGTCGTTCACATTGATGAAACTTGAATACTACGTAGAAGTCGTATCCTAAAACCAGTGACGAACTGTGGCGATATTCTGACATAGCCACCAAATAGTATGACCTTCTATCTCACTATGAGATTGAAGAGTCTTGTGTAAAAACAATTCGGTAGAAACTTGAATCAGCTGAAATAACTCCTCCTCGGATATCCAAAAGATCTATTCAAGCTCCTTTTCCACAAAGACATACACCTATTGTCGATTGGATGTATTGGAAATGTTTTGCTGCATCAAGGTCAGGACAATGGAGGCCTCATTAACAGCGTGAAATGTCTGGTCTCGCTGCTCGTTTCTTGCGTAGTGCTTGCTTAACATTTGCGAGCAGAAGGATCCATATTTTAAGTAAACCGAACACTGTTAAATGCCTAACTACTTCAACCCGGTTCTTCTCATCTCAAGGTAAGATTCTCTTTTGCTAACATGCATATTCTCTAGCCGACCGTCAATTCAACCAAATTCTGACCAATGAAATACAAGAAGAGAAAGAAAATGCTTTCACATGCAGCCCTCCCAAGGGGTTTAAAGTAGTGGAAACCAATGGATCCGAAGTCGTTATACGCAAGGAGTATCCTGATGGCCTGTAAGCATTGTGGATCTAATCTATGTTTGATTAAGCTTTGTCGACATTGATATTAATTTGGCTGGCAGTATTTACCCTGGTGCTTCAGAGGATTCTGAGAATCCAGAAGATGCGGCTACTCTAGAGGCTCGCCCTGAGTTTCGTATCAAACTCACTAAATCTAGTGGGCGAAGTTTAACTTTCAACTGCAGTTTTCCGGGACCTGAGCTTACAAAAGATTTCTCCGAAGATGATCCGAATTACCGTAAGCTTTTTATTTGTATGATTGATATGGGAGGGACTTGTCATTTCATTGTACGCGAGAACCAAAGGGTCGCCAGAAGAACACTGCGGTTGCGGTCGTGATTAGTGCGGACAACGATAAATGCAAAGCCTGATGTTCTAGCACTTTACAGTCTAAACACTGAGCCCTGTATGTTTTGCAATTCAGCATAGCAACTAATTTTATAGGAGCCAGTCAGCTACAACGTAGAACTTCGTACGTACGTATATCAGTTCAAGTAGCCATACTACAATAGCACTAACGCGATTGTCAAATCATACCTCATAGTAGTAGGATTATTACTAGTGTTGGTAGTAATCGGAGAGATCAGGGTTCGAAGATATTGAAGTAGCATTATTCAGCTAGATGAGTTTCGTAAGAAAAAGAGTTGACGGTTGGGCATCTGTAATACATGTTCTAACCAATTCAAATGGCGACGTTTCGATGCTTCATTTATTGAATAGCTATCTTTTCCTAGTACCCGTCTCCCAACGACTGCATTGCTTACTCGGTTGTCCGACGATACACGAGCAGTGATACGGAGACACATGGTCAAAACCAGTAACTTACGAATATCTTTTGTTGTTGCTGGCCATGCTTCACAGTCATGAGGTGGAATGGAGCAAACTACTGGGCAGAAGGCTCGTCCTTTTTTGGTTAAGAAACGGATATCTCGTTTGCGCCGAATATGACGCAAGTTTGCAGAAGCCCGTCGAGCCTTCTGTATCCGCGCTGAGATTGTCACACACCTAGTTAATATTACTTGAATTTAGTCATCAGTTCATGTATGTAGTTGGACCATGAAACCGACACTCAGTTAACTGAAGACTGGTAAATACCTAGTTTACGTGAGGTTGTCTGTGGCAGTCGTTGTCTTAGGCATAAGATAATCTCCGCATACATTTCATGATGCTATCTGAATATTCTGTCATCTGTGTCACATAAGCACACCGGTACAACTATAAATTCGTTTTCTTAAACATTCTGACTGGTGAAGTGTTCTTCTTGCAGGTATTTTTCAATCTCCAGACAATTAGGAAATTACGCCCTTTGTTGTCAGACTGCTGCGTCGGTAGTTATCTACGATTTGTTACATCATGTCAGTTGCTTGAGGTCAATATTTGCTTGTAGACTCGGGAATATAGACAACACATCCTGTCTGTCTACTTGACTGAATCCCTTTCGGTGTCTATAGGGCTATTAAATTACTTGATTGAATCAAACATGCTTATGATATAACACAAATAAACGACAATCCAGTAGTAATCTATTACTAATACGGTCTTTTTCTTTACAGCCACTTATTCCGTTGATTCTATTGGAATGGAACGCGTCCCGGGCTATTTCGTGTACACTGACTTGCTCGATGAAGTAAGTATCACCTGATAGAGTACTGTTTCACGTCTTTTGGCTAGTTTGATGACTTTTTTCTTCTATTTTAGAAAATGTTTGACCATTCAATAAAGTTGCTGTTAGAGCGCGGACTAGACGCAGACTTTCAACAAGAATTGCAAGACTTTTGTACTTCAGAGGAGCACAAATTGTATCTGAAATTTCTGGATGAATTCCAAAAATATTGCAAGGAATAACTCAAGAGAGAGAGATTGAGTTGACTTAGTTACAAATGCTCTAAAATTAAATGCATTTGACTTTAAAAATTTTTATTTCAATAAATACAAAATATTGTACAAAATAGTTAATCTTGAGTTTCTATGCACTTAGCAACTGTTCACCCGCTTGTGCTATGGCGCTGCCTAAGCAAACGTATGGCTCGTAACTGTTGCCTTCGGCCTGATTAAGTGTATCGCCTAGTTTGGAACTTGTCTTCTTGATGAAATCGCCCAAGCTATGCTTGAAGGTAGATAGATTTTGAGTAAACCTGAAATAGATAATAATAATAATAGTAATCTGAATAGTTTTATGATTTCGACTCGACAGGTTGATGAATATCTGGAAATCCATACCCTTGACTGGACTGTTAATTCAAACAGTAGTTTTATAAGCAATCTGCCCAAAAAGGGTACTCAGTATAATGCTTCAATAAGTCAATAGGTGAGCTTAATCTGGAACTTAAAATCACAGGAACAGACGTACTGTCCTCTGAAATTATCGTGGGGAAACCGCTTGATGCGTTGGTGCATGCTGTTTCGTGATAAAGTGGCAAATACTCAGCCTGTCGCTAGTATGATAATTAGCGTGTACATAATGTAGCTTCATGTTGTATGGTTCGGATATTAAGTGAGGTAGGGATGGTGAATAAACTAGTAACATGAGATATTTCAAAAGACGACTTCCGCATCAGCGCACTGAAAGTCTGATGCAGATCGACTTGGATCATAAAAGAAACAGCGGAATGCGGGTTTTCGGCGGAGGCCTTGAGTGATTAGTCAGTAAAATTATCGAGTCAGGTTGTGGACAACACAGAACAGTCTGCGCGCTTCGTCTTTCGTTTAATGTGAACTGATTACAAAAAAGTACTTCCGAGGTCTTCACTCGAGGCAGGTACATTACACTACGGCAAACAAGAGCTTGCTCGACCGTAGCTGTAACCTTGATGTCGTGGTCGTGATTACCAATCGTGATGACATGACCATACTGCACTTATTGAGACACGTTTTGTTTACCATAAACTTAAACAATAGGAGATATTATCAGATTATTTATGTTCAGTCATATGTCTTCGGGAATTTACCTGTGTGTTCTAGGACCTCCGAGTAAGCAATGCCTAGGTTAAGGAAAGGGTACTAGGTAAATGTCGCAAATCGGTTGGAGACATAGTAAATCCTCATAAGCCGAGGTGAGGGAGACGAATGCCCAACTACTACTTGTAGGAGTAGACTAGACGAAAGCTATGGGCGGCTAAACCAACTCGTGGTACAAATCCATGAAGTCACTAACGTGTGGACTGAGTTATATTAGTAGGTGTCGACTACCTGGTTGGGGTCCACGAGAAGATAGTAACCGATAGTTAGAGATCTTGAATGATATGGTTCAAAATTGTTGGCAATAGCTCAGGTGCATCCATTATTTGTCTGCTCTCAGGATGTTTTCTTATGTCTTTTTTAATTTATTTTCTGAATTACACAATCTCTTGTTTTCTTCATTGACACTATTACTCCTACTACTACCTCTACCATTATAGGATTGGAATTAACAATTCGTTATTCTGTTTAGATATTCACCGGTTGAACAACTGGAAATGAAAAAAACAACTAACTTTGCGCGTTAACCTGAAATGAGCATTGTCAATACAGTGTTTATTATTCATTTTCGATACCAAGGATAATGGAATAATGAAGAACCGATTGTAAAAATATGTTACTTATCAGTGAAATGAGACCATATCTGTATCAATGAAAAATGTTCAGAAGGACCATGTAGGGAGGCCAAGAGTCAGTCAGTCAGTCAGTCAGATGCAACGTAGAACTTTGTACATAAGTACATCAGTTCATGTTGCCATACCACATCAGCACAGAGAAGTAATCGTCAATTCAAATCCAATAGTAGAAGAGGTAGTGCAAAGGTATTAGAAGTAATCGAAGAGGTTAGGATTAGAAGATATTATTCAAGAAGTATGATTCAGTGAGAAAAGTTTAGAGAGTCGAAACTAGAGGTGTTGAATAATCCTGAAGATTAGGATTTGAGAGAACACAGGGAATAAATGCACCGGCGCCATTGCGAACGATTTTGAGGAGGGAGGACAAGAGCTACTACTATACTACTACTCACAGATCACCACTTGCTGCTGGTCACCAATATGAAACTGAAAAAATCAAGAAGCACGGGGCAGACAACATCACAAATGTTTATTACAACTGCCTTTCTTCAGGATACTTACTGGAAAGCTCACACTGAATTCAAGATAGCATAGCCCTCACAACCAATAGACTCTAGGCTTTGCACGATCTATCTACTACTCAATGGAAAGGGATCAAGGAGGCAGTCACTTCAACATATCACGAGGTTCTGTGGGCTACAAAGAACAACACTATCTACAAGGAATGAATCTCTCGAAAAAATTGAAGAAGGCAGCAATCAACATCAACCAACCGAACAAGAGCAGAAAAAGCCACAAGGAAGGAACAAGCTGACTGAACAGAAACAAACAAAAGCGAGTGAAGAGGAGCAGCAAAAATAAAAACAAATTTTGCATGTAAAAAAATTTTGAACTTACGTATCACGATTTTTAAGTGTTAAATCGTATTTCACATCTTCCATTAATTTATCAAATAATTTATTGGCAGATTCTTGTCTTTCTTCTGGTAATTCTTTAATGACACGATTTTTTAATTCTGTATAGTACTACAGGGGAAAAAAAAGAGAAATTTATAATAATAATAATAATAGGAGTGTGGTGCGAGCTACTTATAAGTAGTATATGACGTGAGTGTCAACGTAATGTCTGGCAGCAGAAGATGGGAGAAGATCAAGAAAGGAAGAGTGGGGGGAACACAATGGAATTTGTATGAAACGCATGAATAGTGAAATGTCAGACAATGGATTGATGATGGATTGAAGATTTGCAAATTAACGATTTACGATATGGTTTTCCTATTTTACTGAGTAACTCTGTAATTTTCGTTAAATACAATTCGGTTGCCCTCACCTGTGTTCTCCTTCACTACAATAGGAGTCTTGTTTTTTCAAGATAAATTGTTATTCGCTAACAAAAGCAGGCGGCAGGGTGTAATCAGTGTATCTCATATAAGAGCAGAATGGAAATCTTGTTGGAATTAGTTTTCTCCAACTGATTGTTACGAATCCACGTAAACATGTCAACTTGATATGCTTGGACTATTACGAGTGTTTACCTTAGTCGGAAAACAAGAGCCAGGATTGAGGATCCGGTGACATGACATGCTACTACTCTAATCCGAGTGTCTCAACCCCCATAATATTGAGTGAAAAGAAGAAGACTTGATATGATATGCTGGTTGGGCGAATAAAATTGGCTACGTCTGGGACACCAGGTAATAATAGAAGCAGAAAACCCGTAATTAACAAAATTAGAATCTTCACTGATTAATTTAACACTCGATATAGGCAAACACAATCAATCAAATCAGCATCGGATAGGATGGAACTGCTGAATACTACGGGTAAATCAATAACTGCAACTTTTAAAGATAAATCCAGAGTGTCAGTCAGTCAATCAGTCAGATGCAACGTAGAACATCGTACGTAAGTACATCAGTTCATGTTGACATACCACATCAGCGCAGAGATGTAATTGTCGATTCAAATCCCATAGTAGTAGAGGTAGTAAACGTATTAGAAATAATCGGAGAGGTTAGGATTAGAAGATATTATTCAAGAAGTATGATTCAGTGAGAAAAGTTTAGAAAGTCAAAACTAGAGGTGTTGAAGAACCCAGAAGATTAGGATTTGAGAGAACACAAAGAATAAATGCACCGACGCCATTGCAAACGGTTTTGAGCCATGTCATTCAGGGTCTCTAACCATCGATTATTATCACCTCACGGACCCCAATCAGGTAGTCGACAACTACCGACATGAATCAGTCCACTCGCCAACCACTTAATGGATTTCTGCCATGTTTTGGTCTGACCGCTCAAGCAGTCTTCTAACCTATTCCTACACTAGAAAACAAAGTTCGTCGAGGCAGTCGGTGTTTAGGCATACGTAACACATGTCCCAACCGCCTCAACTGATGAAGTTTCTATACTTCATCTATTGACCAGCCATCTTTACCTGGCACCCGTTTCCTAATAACAGCATTGCTTACTCGATTGTCCCATGATATATGAGCAACGCTTTGGAGACACCTATGATTGAAAACCACTAACCTACGAATATCTTCTACTCTCATTGGCCATGTTTCGCATTCATACAGTAGGATGGAGCGAACTGCTGAGCAGTAGTCACCATGCATTTTCTTGTTCATCCCCAAATTGGTTAGATTACAAACTTTAGGTTAACTCTAATTAGGAATATTCATACTGATTAACTTTTCGATCATAGATGTCTTCGAAGCATTGCTCGTTTCTATCTTTGGACTATCGAGTAAGGAATGCGGTTGTTAGTTAAAGGGGTACTAAGTAAGAATGGCAGATCAATAGATGAAGTATTGAAACTATAACAATTGAGGTGGTTGAGACATGTGTATTGCGTATGACCAACCACCGACTGTTTCAACAAGCTATGTTTTATGGTGTAGAAGTAAGTTGGAAGAAAGCTTAGGGGCGAGGCTAAACCAACAGATGGAACAAATCTACAAAGTCACTGACAAATGGATTGAGTCATGTTGGTAGATGTCGACTACCTGGTTGGTGTCCACGAGACGATAATTACCGATGCTTAGAGACCTTGAATGACATGGCTCAAAATCGTCTGCGATAGCACAAGTGCATTCACTCTTTATCTTCTCATAAATCTTCTAATCTTTTGGATTATTCATCATCTTTATCTTTCTCTTCTTAAATTTCTTTCAACTAGATTCTACTTCTTGAATTACAATCTTCGAATCCTAATCTCTCCGATTACTACTGTGGTGCGAACTACTTATAAGTAGTATATAACGTGAGTGTCAACGTAAAGTCTGGTAGCATAATATGGGAGGAAGATCAAGAAAGGAAGAGTTAGAAAACAATGGAATTTGTATGAAACGCATGAATAGTGAGTGACAATGGATTGATGTTTTGCAACAGGAACAGTCCAGTTCGATATGATGAACTGATATTTTGCAAATTAACAATTTACGATATGGTTTTCCAATTTTACTGAGTAACTCTGTAATTTTCGTTAAATACAATTCGGTTGCCCTCACCTGTGTTCTCCTTCACTACGGATATACTTGAAATATAATAAAATAATAGAAGCTGATTGCTGATTTATTTAGAACTCCAAGACAGCAAAAGCGTGCAAGTAACGGATCATTAATAGTTTAGTAGCGTCGGCTTAAGATCAGTCAGAAATGCTGGTTGAGCGTATGAAATTGGCTACGTCTGGGACACCAGATAATAAATAATAAAAGCAGAGAACCCGGAATTAACAAAATCAGAATCTTGATTGATCACTTTGACACTCGATATAGGCTAACACAATCAATCAATCAATCAAATCAGCATTGGATGGGATGGAACTGCTGAAAACTATGGGTAAATCAATATCTCCAACTTTTGAAGATAAATTACAGAGTGTCAGTCAGTCAGATCCAACGAAGAACTTCGTACGTAAGTACACCAATTCATGTTGCCATATCACATCAGCACAGAGATGTAATTGTCAATTCAAATCCAATAGTAGTAGAGGTAGTAAAGGTATTAGAAGTAATCGGAGAGATTAGGATTAGAAGATATTATTCAAGAAGTGTGATTCAGTGAGAGAAGTTTAGAAAGTCAAAACTAGAGGGATTGAAGAATCCAGAAGATTAGGATTTCAGAGAACACAAAGAATAAATGCACCGGCGCCGTTGCAAACGGTTTTGAGCCATGTCATTCAAGGTCTCTAACCATCAATTATTATCATCTCGCGGACCCCAATCAGGTAGTCGACAATTACCGACATGGCTAAGTCCACTCGTCAATGACTTCATGGATTTGTGCCATGTTTTGGTCTGGCCGACTCTAGCTTTCTTCTGACCTATTCCTACACTACAAAACGAAGCTCGTCGAGGCAGTCAGTGGTTAGGCATTCGTAATACATGTCCCAACCTCCTCAACTGATGAAGTTTCTATACTTCATCGATTGATCTTCCATCCTTACCTAGTACTCGTTTCCTAATAACAGCATTGCTTACTCGATTGTCCCATGATATATGAGCAATGCTTTGGAGACACCTATGATTGAAAACAACTAACCTACTAATATCTTCTACTCTAACTGGCCATGTTTCGCATCCATTTAGTAGGATGGAGCGAACTGCTGAGCAGTAGTCACCATGCATTTTCTTGTTCATTCACCAATTGATTAGATGATAAACTTTAGATTAACTCTAATTAGGAATATTCATACTGATTAACTTTTCGATCATAGATGTCTGCGAAGCATCGCTCATTTTTATCTTAGGACTATCGAGTAAGGAATGTTGTTGTTAGTTAAAGGGGTACTAAGTAAGAATGGTAGATCAATAGATGAAGTATTGAAACTATAACAATTAAGGTAGCTGGGACATGTGTATTGCGTATGACCAACCACCGACTGTTTCAACGACCTATGTTTTATGGTGTAGAAGTAAGTTGGAAGAAAGCTTAGGGGCGCGGCTAAACCAACAGATGGAACAAATCTATAAAGTCACTGACAAATGGACTGAGTCATGTTGGTAGATGTCGACTACCTGGTTGGGGTCAGCGAGATGAAAGTCACCGATGGTTAGACACCTTGAATGACATGGCTCAAAATCGTTTGCGATAGCACAAGTGCATTCACTCTTCATCTTCTCACAAATCTTCTAATCTTTTGGATTATTCATCATCTTTACCTTACTCTTCTTAATTTTCTTTCAACTAGATTCTACTTCTTGAATACTACTATCTTCGAACCCTAATCTCTCCGATTACTATTACTAATAACTTCTACCTATCTCTACCATGATAGGATTGGAAATGACAATTGCATCTTTGTATGCTAATGTGGTATGGCTACGTTGTAACTGAACTGACATTGACTGACCCAATGATTATCAAACTCTTACTTACATACATAAATAAATGCCATTAAATAGCTACATAAGATGGTCACACGGTATAAAAAAACTTATTTCCACTTTGTTTTAATCAATAAAAAAATGAAACTGTATCAATGCAACAAAGAAGAAGTAAAATAACAACCTTCTATGACATACTTGTTGATTTAATAAAATTAATGGTAACAATGGTCTAGACATATGCCATTGACAACGACAATCTTCTTGTATAACAGTACATAATAAAGTAAGGAGAATACGTTGTAATAGTTGAAGACCACTACCACTACTATTGGACATACTACTCGGTGAATTCAATTCAGTAGTAGGCGGTGGTAATAATAATAAAAAATTCATTAGATTTGTTGATGCTGTATTCGAACGTGTCGACCAGACAGCATAATTAGCTGTACCTTTTAGATCGAATTTCATAGGATGATTGTCAGTGAGATCATTATTACTATTAATATTATTAGTAGTATTATTAGTAGTGGTATTATGATGATCGTGGGTGTTTTTATTTAATAAATTATTCGAATTGTTTATATCGATGAGATATAATGAGTTATTAGGATTATTATTGTTGTTATTATGATCATGATTACTGATATGATTATTAGTAGTATTGGTATTATTAGCATTATTGATTGTACGATTGGTACGTTGTTCACGTTGAATCATTTTAAAAAGATGCGTTGAAAAATGATCTAAACATATACAACAAGCTTCACTGATACCGGGATCTACAACATAAACAAACAAAACAGAAAGAAAATTAGATTTCAATGAAATGATCAAACATATGTATGTTAGAGGTACTGAGAAGATAGTTAACATCATACAGAATTCTTATGATGGATTCAACTGTAAAATCGTACACGAAGGACAGCTAACAAACTCTTTCGAGGTGAAGACAAAGGTGTCAGGCAAGGTTGCTTACTCTCACCCTTTCTCTTTCTCCTGGTCATCGACTGGATTATGAAGACGTCAACATCCGGAGGGAAGCACGGTATCAACTGGACAGTTAGGACGCAGCTGCACGATCTGGACTGAGCAGATGATCTGACTCTTCTATCGCACATGCAACAACAAATGCAAGAGAAGACGACCAGTGTAGCAGCAGTCTCTGCAGCAGTAGGTCTCAATATACATAAAGGAAAAAGCAAAATCCTCCGATGCAACACAACATGCACCAACCAAATCACTCTTGATGGAGACGCCTTGGAGGACGTTAACAGCTTTACATATCTGGGCAGCATCATCGACAACCAAGGTGGATCAAATGAAGATGTGAGGGCGTGGATTGGCAAAGCAAAGGCTGCATTTCTACAACTGGACAACATCTGGAACTCAAAACAACTTTCAACCAAAACCAAAATCAGGATATTCAAAACAAATGTCAAGACAGTTCTACTGTATGGAACGAAAATTTGGAGAACTACGAAAGACATCATCCAGAAGATACAAGTATTTATTAACAGTTGTCTACGCAAAATACTGAGGATTCGTTGGTCAGACACTAGCAGCGACAACCGCCTACTGTGGGAAAGAACAAACCAGATTCCAGTGGAGGAGCAAATCAGGAAGAAGTTCTGGAAGTGGATAGGACACACACTACGAAAAGCACCTAACTGCGTCACGAGACAAGCCTTCACATGGAACCCTCAAGGTCAAAGAAAAAGAGGAAGGTCAAGGAACACATTACGCCGAGAAATAGAGAAAGATATGAGAGGAATGAACAAACATTGGACAGAACTGGAGAGGGAAGCCCAACGACAGAGTTGGTTGGAGAAAACTTGTGGACGGCCTATGCTCCATTGTGGGTTACAGGCGAAAGTAAGTAAGTAATGTTAGAGGTGCCCTAACTATTGCCGCCTACTGTAATAACTCAATGTTGTTGTTTGGTGTAAGAGTACATACACTCTGGAAGAAAACTAGAGATGGGATAAACCAATAACATGAGACTTGTCTATGTGAAGTAAATAACAATTGGGGTGAACTATGTTTAATAGGTACAGACAAATGATACCTACCTGGTTGGAATTCACATGACAATCGTAACTGTCGGTGGTTACTACAGACTTTAAATGATATAGCTCGATATTGTTTACAATTGCACAAGTGCTATTGTAAGCTTCTAAAGCATTTTATATTTTCATCACCATTATTTTCTCTTATCTTATCTTCGATCTCTGTTCGACCGTATCTGCTACCGAGTAAGCAATGCTATCGTTAGGAAACGAGTAATAGGTAGGGATGGCAAATCAATAGATGAAATAGTGGAACTTCATCAGCTGAGATGGTTTGGACATGTGTTACGTATGCCTAACCACCGACTGCCTCGACGAGCTATATTTTGCAGTGTAGGAGTAGGTTGGAAGAAAGCTAGGGGTGGCCAGACCAAAACATGGCACAAATCCATGAAATCACTGACAACTGGATTAAGTCATGTTGGTAGATGTAGACTACCTGGTTGGGATCCGTGAGACGAAAGTAACCAATGGTTAGAGACCTTGAACAACGACGACATGGCTCAAAATCGTTTGCAATGGCGCAACTGCATCTATTCGTTGAGCTCTCCCAAATCCCAATCTTCTGGATTCTCCAACCCCTCTAGTTTAGACTTTCTAAACTTATCTCACTGAATTATACTTCTTGAATGATATCTTCAAAACCTAGTCTTCTTCATTACCATTAATACCTCCACTATCTTTATCACTATGGGATTCGATTTGACATTTGCGTCTCTGTGTTAACGTGGCATGGCAACCTGAACTTATGTACATACGTACGAAGTTCTACGTTGCAACTGACTGACTGACCGATCTCTGTGACCAACCATAATACTGCCACTATCTCTACTAATCTGAAATTTGGCTTGATAATTTCATCTCCCTTTATGCTAATGTAGTATACATCAAGTGTACATCAAGTGTGTATAAATCAAGTTTTACGTTGCAAATGACTGATTGATCTATGAGGTATCATACAAAAAAAGACACCCAGATATTAATGCGCCATACAAATAATCCAATTCATGAGTGGACTAGGACACTATCAGTCTACACAAACAGAAGAAGGTGTTTCTTTTAGGGGGTGGTCATACACCGAACCTTTGACCCAAAATTTAAATCCTCAAGCCCATAGAGAAACGTCAAGCGATGCAGTCACATGATAGTTGGCGATAAACACAATGTTCGGAAGCCATTCGATTTATTAGAATCTTGAAGCCCACATGTAAGCACCAACGGTTTGGAATGAAGGTTTTTCAACTGCTCTAGGTGGATCATTCTTACCCACCGAACCGGTTTAAGCTTTGCCGGACATTTGCTTTTCGTCCTTTCAATTTCGTAAGCAACACTCGTAACCACGAGTAGGCAGTGAGTAGGACGTTCCTGACAGTGACTAAATACGCATGGCCGTTTGAGAGCATTTCCAAGAGAACGGACTCACCTTACTTTCAGCCGTACCAGGGCATTTGGTAATCTATGTATAAAATTCTGAAATTCATATGTTCGTGCTAAAAGCGACTCTTCATACTTTCAATGTGTTTTACCCACTTGGAAAGACTTTAAACCTAATTGGTTAATTTGCTCTTTCAGTGTACTATTTTGTAACTCTTCCAAGGACACTAACCGAACATGAATAATTTTTTCTTGTTTAATGACTGTTTATCAGTAAAACTGTTTGTAATAGATACATTTCAAGGATACAATACCGACGGTCCCGGGTTCAAATCCTGAGAGGTTCAGGAGTCGTGGATGCGCAATGCTGATGAGTCCCATACGAGGACGAAACGGCCGTCATTCAGTGCTTCCAGGTTTCTAAAGGTGGCCTAACAATGATTGATTGATGATTTCAAATGTGTAAAATCACAAATCTCCAAAACTCTAACTGGAAATATATATATATATATATCATTATAGCGTTGTAGAGATTGTCAAGTTTCATTGAAATTATGAATCGACCAATGTTAAACTAACATCAGAAACACGGAAGCAATAAACGACTGTTTTTTTCCTAGTATACGACTCATCACTGGTTCGTATCCATCAACCCTGTGGCTTGTGAAGCAAGCACTTGCCCACCGAAGACAATAGATGAGGTTATGCAAGCATGTGGATTCATCGAACTTAGACATGAACACCGTTGGATGCGCGCTCAATGGTCTAGAGGTTAAGCGTTCGTGCGCGAAACGGAAGCTCATGTGTTCGATTCCTGCGAGCATGGGTTGGTTATGGATACGAACTGCCAATGACTCTCACATTGAAATGATGAAACAGCTGCTGTCCAATGCTTCCAGATTTCTAAAATGTTATACCTGAATGTGAACACGTCAACTTGATATACTTTAACTATTACGAGTTTACCTTAGTCGGAAAACAAGAGCGAGGATCGAGGATCCGGTATGGAGTAGAACCTGTATTTGACAAGCATTCAGAAAGTGCGAGGTCCGAATCCAGGAAAGAATCAGGATACCGGACTAGGGATCCGGGACCAGGTCCTGGTGATAAAAACGTTACAAATAATGCGTATTTATGCATTCAGGTCGAACAGGAAACAGCATCGAATTCTGTGACATTGACAGTTAAGACGACCAATAGGAAGCCACATTTGAAGTGACATTGATAGTCAGGACAACAACCAATAAAAAACAACATTGGAGCACGTGACATTGATATCTACTAGGACGATCATAAAATTGACCAATAGGAATTAACCAATAGGAATTGACCAATAACTAACTCTCTTAGGTTATATTGGATGAATACGCAAACATAACAATAATCGATATGCAACTTCAAAATATTTATCTTATTATCATACCATATAAAAAAAATTCACTTACCTAATGAAATAATATTATTTGCGATTGTTTTTAAAAAATGCAATAAAATCGGTGTACCCAAAGAGGCGATAAATACAATATGTTCATTTAAAATTTGTTCTAATAAACCAAAATGACATGCTGCTAATTTTGGATGATCCTGTGTATATTAGAATGAAAATGAAATTTAGAAAAAAAGAAAAAAAGTAATATATATATTTTTTTTCAATTAGAGTAATGGAGATTAGTGTATTTTACACATTTGAAATCATCAATCAATCATTGTTAGACCACTCCATTAGAAACCTGGAAGCACTGAAAGACGGCCGTTTTGTCCTGGTATGGGACTACTCATCAGCAGTGTGCAGCTACGACTCCTTCACCTCGAAGGATTCGAACCCGGGACCTTCGGTATTGTGCGCGAACGCCTAACCATCGGACCACTGCACCGGCATCCAACAGTATTAATGTCTAACCGTGATCAATATAGGGATTTTACACAACCTCGCTCATTGTCTTCGGTCATTACTGCCTACACTTGACAGGGTTGAACCCCACTGGTCACGTCTTCTCAACTAGAACTCCGAGAATTTCCTCACCAAGCTAGTCACTAGTGAGCACATTATTGTTTGTATCGAGAGTTATTTACACCATGTATATCATTATATATTCAAGACCAAAGCAGGAGAGAAAGATCAAAGAATAGACACAATACATCAAGAATTACAGACAAACATGAAAAAGATGAATAACTAACTGTTCGATAGAAATGGGAAAGAACACCAGGGACAAAGTAGGTTGGAGTATTCTCCAACCAACTTGTCGGTGG